GCTCACCTGCGCCAGACCCAGAAGCAGCAGCGGCAACCGCCAGAACAGCAACCCGCGACCTGCACGCCGAGCCATGAGAAGCTGAGCTGGGGACACAGCTCCGGGCTTATATAGTGCAGCCAAGCCAACTCGTGATCTTTCCAAGTCCCTCCCACGCGGGTGGGTTCGCGCCCCGCCCAGCACGCCAGAGAGCTTGCTTTATCTCTCAGGGCTGGTGCTTTGGGCTCCCCGTCCCGGGCGTCCCTGGCCTGATGCCTGAACCTGCAGCCCAGACCGGAGCCAGCCCACGGGTAGGAACGCCTGTCCTCCCGACAGCGCGTCTGACTGCTCGCCTGTGCGCCTCACCAACTCCGCGGAATTCTGCAGCCGGGTCTGTCCTGGGACCAGGGCATCCCAGGCATCCCGCCGCGCGGCGGTTCCAGATAATGCCTGGCTTCATCCAGGTGTTCACAGCGTCCCGGCCACTGTCTGGCCTTTGGGGTTCGGCGCTCCTCGTCCTCCTCCCCACAAGGACTGCCATTTCTGGAGCTTTTCAGCTCTAGAGGTTTAACTTTCTAGATAAAGGGGAGTATGGTGACTTTCACCTTCCCACCATGCACCCCAGGTTCCCTCCTGGATAGAGTCTTCTCTCCGCCAGCCTGTTGGGCAGGAGGCAGAGGAACTCCTGCTAGTCCGTCCCCACCCAAAGCTCCCCCAACCCCCAACGTGGGCTTCCGCTTTCACAGGTGTCTGGAGACTGCACTTCAGTACAGGTCAGGGATTCCTGCTTCTGTTCCCCCCTTTCCCAGCACTCCCTAGGTATTTTCTGACGAATGGAGGTTTGGCCTGTGGTGGGGGGCGTGGGTAAGGACAGGATAGGGAGCTGCACTGCCCAGTCTCAGGCAAGTCTGGGATGCCTGCCCCAGCCTCTCCTGCCCTAGATGCCCTTGGGGCCAATTCTAGCAATCAAAGGAAACCTGAGTCAAGAAACAACCCCAGGGAAGCTGAGAGTGCTTCTCACTACCCTAGAGAGCTGCAGAAATACCTGCTCGATGCCTGCACCAGCTCTCTACTGGTGTCCTGCTTTTTTCTCACCTGGTTGGCTACATTCTTCTTGCTCACTTCAAATAGTTACTTGAATGTCAAAGCTAGGATTACATGAGTCAAACATTCCTCCTGGGTGCTTGGCAATGACCTGTTCTCCAGAGTTGCATGAAGCTGACTCCAGGGCAGGCTGGGGGGAGCTTTTGCTCTACCTGAACCCAGGGCCAAGGACTTCCTGTCCACACAGGAAATGGAAATGTCAAGGATATCCCGCCCTGGACTCAAAATGTAGAAAACTACCACCAGGAGACCCAGGCTCTATGCACTGTGTGTCCGGGGCTGTGGCCTCAGTGTGGGGGACTGCAGACCTGGGCCTGGAGCACTGACCCTGGGTGTGTGGGGCAGGTCCTGGGAGCCCAGGCCATCTAAAGCAGACCTGAGACTCCTGGGGAGGGCTGGGTTGGCAGCACCAGCCGGCTCTTCTTGGGTCCAGCTGGAGCCTCATCCTCTCCTGGGATCTTGGGGGGTTTTGTGGGGGGCTGAGGGAGGTGGTGCCCAGGGGCCCTGCTGGGTCTCCTCTCCCTTGGGCACCTGCCTTCCTTCTCACCTTTTAACCTCCATGTGGGGTCACTGGTGAGCTGCTGTCTCCCTTGGCTGTCATATGTGGGGTCTGTGGTCAGGTGCCAACTCCCTCCTTCAGGGGCAATGGACTGTCCCAGCACAGGGAATGTCCTTCCCTTGGAACTGGTGACTGAGTATCAGGGATGCTGGCCATGGGTTTTCCCCTTCCTGTGGAAGGGCAGTGACCAGGCAAGCTGGGCCTCCGGGGCAGGGCTGTGCTCATGCCCCCTTCCCTCCCCCACCAAGTCCTAGAGGTTCCCATTGTGTTTGGACAGCAGCTTGGCCACCCACGTGCTCAGCCTTTGTCAGCTGGGTGACAGTGTGGTAGGCAGTTAGTTAGACATGAAAGGGCAGCCCTAAGAGAAAAGTGGGACTCACCTAGCCCCAGGCGCCAGAAGGACGAGGTAATTTGCCATCTTCCTTGGAGCCTGAGGGAAGCGCACAGGGATGATTCCTAGATTTTTCTCTTATCAAAAAGACTGGAATCAGCAGTTAGCGTAATGGCTATGTCGCTGGACTCCCACGTAGTCAACCGCGGTTCGCGTCCTGGACCCAGTGGCTTAAAACTCATGCTGGGCGCGTGTGTGTGCGGGCCCAAGATCCCGAGAGGAGAATGGAGGAGAAGGGATTGCAGCGTGACCATCCCCCCTGGGGGGGGATTTCTTGCTTTCTGTCTCTATGTCTCTGTCTGTCTGTCTGGCGAGCGCATGCGCCCTATAGCGAAAACCTCTCAAAAAAAAAGACCAACACCCTAATCCCCACCCAAGTAAGCTTTTGTCAATGTGCTAATTCCCACTAGGTCAACACCCTAATTTCCACTAGGATGATGAAATAATTAGGCAGTCTAATTAAACAACCTGGCTCACACTGGGCATGCACAATAAGGTTATCAAGTTCCTCATTCCTTACCTGAGAGAAATCTGCAAACACAGGAGAAAACACCGTGAATTCAGACCTCCCACCAATAAATATTCATGATGACCTCTAGTAATAAAAGTAACAATTAACCAGTATCAAACACAGCTGCCACCTGGCAATCTGCCCGCTCAAGAGCCTTTTGGGTGTACTTTCCTTTCTTTCCTATTAAATATTTTTTTCTACCTATTTCATTCGTGGTTGCGGTTTCATTTTGCGCTTAGGGACAGAGCTCTAACTTTAGTGATCTGGACCCAAAGAACCAAGGACTTCACAATGCAGATGGACATTTTCCCATCCGTTAACAACAGGACCCACTTCCTGGGTCCCGGCTTCCCACAGCTCCCTGTAATGCTACCCCCATTCTCCTCCACCTTCGTCCCTCAGCACGTCCAGGACCGGATGCTTCCACATTGGCCTTTACTCTCTCCGTGGGAAGACCCTCTCATTTCCAGAAGTCCCCCAAGAAGAGAACACACACATGTCTGTCCGTTTATTTCAAGGCATGGAGCACTGACGAGTCCCCAACCGGAGGAGGGGGAGAGACAAGAACATGGATACAAAAATCGTGGAATGAAAACGATCAGTTCTAGCTCAGGGCACCACCACGGCGTAGTTTAAGGCTCCGTATGTGTAGATGTACGTGTCGATGCGTGCACACGCACGCACGCACACAGAGGGACTGAGGCCGGAGGCGTACTTTTGCTAGCAGCCCACCTAAAATATTGCAATTATGTTTATTAAAAAAGTGTAAAACAGGAAGACTATGTGTTGGTCTGAGCAAAGTGACAAGCTTGAGCCTCCCTGACCAAGGGGACGCTGGGCAGGCTCAGCCAACCCTGTGCACACCACCGCCCCCCTGCGCACGCTCACTCACACCCAGCCACCTCCACCTGTACCCACACAAGCAGGCGGGGAGTGTCCCAGTACCTACCTACACTGCACTCCTGTCCAGTGGTAGAATAATCCCCTGCATCCTCAACAGAGTGGCCCTAGCCTGTTCCTGATGCCCCTCCTGGGTAACCTGGCAGCCCCGGCAGGGTCTCAGGAAGGAGGGCATAGGCATCAGGGCATCTGAGCCCCGCGACTCCTGGGGGGCCCTGGGCCACTCCGGGCTCCTGGTTTGCTCCTTGAAACCTTCCCACTCACTGTGGCATGGGTATGACCACCACCCAGAGCCTGGGCAGGCCTTCCCAGCCCCCAGATCCATCAATCCCACGAGGCAAGTGGAGACTGGACCGGGGACGGCCAGGCGTGATGACCAGGGAGCGCCTCGCACAATAAAAGCTGCATTTGGCTTTAGCATTAAGGCCGGCCTGGGCGGAAGGCCCTGCAGGTGAGGCCAGGGTCCCCCATGTGGGGCCCAGCACAAGCAGGCCGTAGTGTCCCGCAGCCCCCAGGTCCCTCCTGCTGTCCTGTCCTGTCTGCACCGTGGGCCCCTCCGTCACAGTGTCTGTGCTTGCCGGGCCTCTCTGCCTCCCTGGGCCGACTTAAAGTGCTGGGTGCCTGGGAGGGAGGGTCTGGGGCTGGCCAGGAGTTCTGCAGGTGACGTCCTCACTGCCAAGCGGCTCTTATTTGAGGATGCAGTTGATAAACAGCTGACGCGCCAGGAACACCCAGAGCAGGAACCATGAGCGGGGACTCTGCAGGAGGCCCGGGGCTGGTGTGTGCCCAGCTCGCACCGTGGAGCTCAGCATGGCGGAGAGGTGCCTGCAAGGGAAGGGTGGGAGATGGTGCTGGGGCCAAGATGCACTTCTGACTCTAGGACCGGGGATGATAAAGGTTTGTCTTTGGAGCCCCACAACCTGTGGGACTTTGTCACGGCCACCTGAGCAGATACACATGCCCTGGGTATGATGCCATGTGTCTACTGTATTGGGTTGTTGGAAAAGTCATGATGCATTTTTGCATTGAAAAAACAAAAAATACATCACGACTTTTCTGCCAATCCAATAATTCGTGCAGAAGTTTCTGCTGTTCCTCTGACGACTGCCTGCATGGCAGCAAGCCACGCAGAGTGACACAATCTTATTTTTGGCCCACACACCCTAAAAAAGGGCCAGGCTTCTGTGCAAATGGTGTGACTCAAGTCACAGCAGGGCAGGAGACTCTTGCCAAAGGAAGGGGTGGCTTACTCATTGCACTGGTATTTGCTGCCAAGGCACTCTTGCATCCCATCCCGGGCATTCTGTCTTCCCTGGCGTTCCACGGCTGCCATAGTGCCAGGAGCCCACGGGGAATCACGGGGACTGTACCAGCTGTCCAGTGCTAACTGGGTGCCTGACTCAGCTCACCCCCGCACCCCATCTTCAGCCCACACACGGGGCACTGCTATAAACTCTGTTTCACAGAGGGGAGGCTGAGGTGCCCAAGCCCACAGCCAGGAGCCACACAGCACGGATCACAGTCAGGAGTCCGCTCTGGGACCTCAGCTGGATGCTGGGGTGTCCGCCAACAGGAAGAGCCCAAGTAGCCCGGCGGCCCATACCTACTTGGGCCATGGACACCCTGGGGCGTTTCCTGCTGGCTCTCCCACCGAGCAGATACCTAGGTGCTTGGGGCCCAGTGTCAAGCAAGGATGCCCGGGAGGGACTGCTGTACTGGGCTCAGTTTCTCTCTGCTGCTGTTGTCCCCACACACTAGGGGGTTTCTCCTGGGCCTACTCCAGAGCCCAGACCTGGCCTAGTACCTCCCTCAGGTGAAGCCTATCTGTGGAGCTCCTGCTGGGCCTCCCTTATGGACAGGATGGCCTCGTGCAGTGCCTGCAGCCGCTGTGCCTCCTTCCTGCACCAAGAGCAGGGGCTCTCGCTGTCTGGGATGGCCAGGGGGGCGGGAGGGACACAGGGAAGGAGAGAGAAACGAGGATGAGCTGGGGTATTGGGTGGGAGGCAGGAAGGGTCACAGGGTTGCACAGGCTCCGGCCCTGCCTCACCTCTTAAGTGACCTGCAGGACTAAGCTAGGTACAGGGAGTCGGAGAAGGCCCCGAGGGGGTGCTTCTGGAGGGAACCCCAGGCTCAGCTGGTTTCTGACAAGCCCTGGGAGAAGTGGCCAGGGTGGCTCATCCACCACAGAGGCAGGGACCAAGCTGGAGAGACACAGGCTGCCCAGTGAGAGCACGGTTCTCGGTGGCAGCAGAGGCCCACGGTGGCAGGAGCAGGACCAGAGGGATGATGCCTGGCTGCCTCACAGCACCCCTGCCATCCAAGGGAGCCCCTGGCCTAGTCCCCTCCTCCTTCTTCCTCCAGCCCCTGCTATGTCCTCATCAGCCCTTCAGAGGCTGAGTGGGCACAGACCCCTTGGAAGACCGAGGGCAGGCAGAGGAGCTCCCTGGCAGGGATGCAAACCCATACCTGGGAGGGAGCATGTCTGCCCTTCCTCTGCTGCAGAGGGGCTAAGGAGGGGCAGTTCCCCCCATCCAGTCCTCCTGGCCAGGTCAGGATCCAAAGTTCCCACCAGATGGTGCTCGGGGCCAGGGCCAAGGAGGGCTCACCGGGAACGAAGCTGCCGTCCTCGTCCTCATCGGAGAGCTCTGGGCAGGACTCGGGTGTGGAGCCGCTGCTCTCGGTGACCTGGCTGTGGCCGGAGGACTGGCCACTGGCCTTGAGGAGCTGCCTGTCTCGGCCAGGCCTCTGCAGAGAGATGGAGCCACTGCAGCAGGGTCCACCTGCACCCACCTGCACCGGCCCTTGGAGCGACGGGGCCACGGCTATGCATAACAGCACTAGAAAGGGCTGCGTGCGTAAGGCAGGTGACGTGGTTTGGAGAGAGGCAGTTTGAATCCTGGCCTGGCGTGGACTGGAGCCGCCATGTCCCCTCTCTGGACCGCAGTTTCCCAGTGAGCCAGTGCAGAAGGGCCCGCCCTGTGTGTATAGGGTTGTGCCCAGTCAATGCAGAGACACCAGCATGCACGGCCGTGGATGGTTCTGGTGCATGCACAGCAAGAGTGGATCAGAGCTGGGGCCGCTGAGTGAGCCGGTGGAGCTTCACAGAAACCTCCAGGTGGCTGGAGTTCCCAACACTGAGGGACTTCTCTGAAGGAACCTGTGGGCTCAGCCAGCTGCCAACAAGCCCCAGAAATATAGGAGTGGCCACGGCGTGTGGCTTGCCCATCCAGGGGTACCTTGAGTGCACAAGGAACCATGGATGCAAATGGATGCTTACAGGCCAGGGGGAATAGCAGAATCAGACTGTGGGGCCGCCACAAGGCAGAGAAGTGACTGGTGGAGTCAGGAGTAGAGCAGGTGGGTTGAGGGGTGGGACAGGGAGGTTGAGTACGAGGTGAGGGGTGGCAACTACCTGGGATGTGTTTGCGCCTTGGTGGGGCTGAGGAGTGGGAGGAGGAAGCAGAGGGCTCTAGGGGTGGACACCTGGCGGAAATGGCCAGGAAAGTGTGGAGAACTGGGTGGGGACGGGTGGGGCTGACGGCAGGACAGCGGAGCCTCTGGGCCTGAGCCTGGGGGAATGGCTACTGTGGTTCAGAGGAGCCATGCAGCGTGTGGGGGTGGGGAGGGCATGACGAATGTCTGCCTCGTGACACCTCTTGCCCTGGCACCTGGCCAGGGAGAAGGCAGAACACAGGTGGGTGGGTGATCACAGGGCCTGTGTCTTGCTAGAGAAATTAAAATTAGGGCTATCCTTCCCCTTCTAAGTCTGGCCTAGGCCCTGCAGCCCTCAACCTGCCCTGCACAGGCCACGCCCAGCTGCACACAGCAGGGCAGCACACCCTGAACTTGGGTAGGTCAGGTCAGGGTCCCCTGGTGGTGGGTTGGGTGCCACCTGGTGGCCACCTCTGGCATGGCATGTGGAGGACACCAGGCTTTCCTCAAAAGCCACACCTAGTCCAGGGTGATGGCAGCTCCTTCTTTATTCATCCTGGCAGCTTCCTGCCCTCCCTCCCACCTTTCCAGGCTCAAGATCTATGCGAACACTGGCTCCTCCTCCTTCTCCTCTGGCAAGTCCCTGGGCTGCCCAGACCCACGGTTTCATCATCTGTTGAGTGAGTAATGCTACTCTGACTCAGCAGAGGACTGGACATAGCCTGGGCACACCGCCTGCCATGGGGTGGCTGGGAACTGGGCAGGCATGCAGAGCCAGGAATCCTGGGTATCTGGGCAGGGGAGGGGAGGAGTCAGGGCCAGAGGAGAGAGAGATCAGGGATAAGGATGTTAGGCAGAGGGGAGGTGGTGCTGGGGGATTCAGGTAGTGGGAGGGAGTAGCCGGAGGGAGTGTAGGTGGCCACACCTGCAGCTGAGATAGCTGGGCAGAGGCCCTGGGGGTGGGTGGTGCTGACCTGGTGCCTGGACCCAGGGCTGCTCAGGAATGTGGCACATCAAGATAAACATGATGTCTGAGGAATAAAATCCTGGACAAAATAAATGTTGGAAATTGTGAAGATTTTTACTCATTAGACTTTTTGTTTTGTCGAATTTGAAGCCGGCTTATTTACAGAAGTCAAATGATCTTGAAAAGCATTGAAATTAGTATGTATGAGTGTTCTCTTTATAAACCAAATGGCATGGATTTTCTTAAGGCCTCTGATCACAGAGGCACAACATATAGTCCTGACACGTACGTATTAATGTACACACATACACATGTAGAAAGACTTTAGAACAATCTCCCACGTCATTAAGAGAAAACGTTTATGAAACGGAGCTGGAGTAGGTGGGGCAGTCTTGGAAGAGACAGTGAGGCTAAGAGTCTTTCTAGATCTTTTATCAGTCTGAGGAGCCCGGCAGGGTTGGGGCCAAAGAAGCAGCATGAAAAGGGCTGTACATTTGAATTTTATATTTTTAGGCATTTATAAAGAAATGTTGAATAGTATTTGTCATTTGTAATGACCTAGCTTAGGTGTAGAAGATGTTGAGATGCCTCTCTTTCTGAGATGGAGGGTCAGAGGCGTCCTAGTGTGTCTGGAGGCTTGTAAAGCGCTGTTGGCCTGATGGGTGGTTTCCTAGTCACAGACACAAAAAGAGGGTCTAGCAAACGTCTCTTTCCATCCTCTTGAAGTGCAACTGTGGGGAATGCGTGATCCACTGTGAGTCAGGAAAGCGACTTTGCCACGCCGGCTGGGTGTCTCTGTGGATTCCAGCCTAGCATGTAACTCGAGGGTCAAGGGCTGCCGGCAGGAGTGTCTGGGCTTCCCTGTGCCGGAGCAGCTGTCACCTGTTTGTGTTCTGTCTCTTTCCC